ACTTAGGAACAAAGGAAGTGTTGGATGGAACACTTAGAAGAACTCTTGAATAAGCCAGCTCCATTGAATCAACAGTACGTCGGAACGGCACACACAGACCTTCCGCTAGATGTCAATCCACCAACGACGGAAGATATCAGGATGGCCATCAGACAAATCGAGAGTGGGAAAACAGTAGAACCTGACAATTTATTTATTTATTTGAACACATAATTATTGGTACAAGAATGCGCCAAATATATATGCACCACACAAAACAATGAGAATTTAAGGGGAAGGAAAAGAAAAAAGGAGAGAATAATAACGAGGAGATTGATGTAAGGTGGTGTAATAATAATAATGGTAAAAATGGGGGAACGGAAAGGTACAATCAGAAGAAATCTTTCAGTTAAAGAAGACACAACCACTTTTTTTTAATGAAGAAAGTAAAAGAAGGTTACAGCAGGATCGCCACTGGCTTCTATTCTGAGCCATATCTGATAACGTCTCTAGCCACTATGTAGCACCATCTCTCGGACCCCAAAAACCAGGGAGTCGTGAAGGACCAACAGAAGCCAGTCCTTTGCAGCTTTCTTTCATCCCACGACACCATGTCATACACTGGCCACCTCTCCGCTTTTTCCAACCAGTCCCAGAGTCGGTAAATAATGCACGACGTGGAATTCTCTGGGACGACATTCGGAGAACATGTTCAAGCCACCGAAGTCGGTGTTTCAAGATGGTGACACCAATTGCATTATCGTCTCTGTGCCCGAACACACGATGCCGAACCTCTGCATTACTAACATGGTGTTGCCACTGGATGTCAGCAATACTTCGGAGACAACGATGATCGAACACAGAGTTGTCTAACATCTTCAACTCGGAGACGCTAGGCTTCATAGACATAGAGCAGAACTGCTCTCACCGACGCGTTGTAGGTCCGACCTTTTACAGCCAAACTAACATCACGAAGGCGCCAAAGATGGCCCAGATTGGCATAAGCCGCTCTGGCTTTCACTATACGTGCATTTATCTCATCACTTACACCCCCATCAGCACTTATGCAGCTACCCAGATACACGAACTTCTCGACTACTTCTATCTGCTCACCATCCAGGGTGAGTACAGGATTAGAATCCTGCCAGTCCTGTAGAAGTACTTTGCACTTCGATGGTGCAAAACACATACCATACCTACGGACACTGATTGCCAACTGATTAAGTGCGCATTGCATGGCTTTGGCATTATCGCACAGTAAGACAATATCATCATCCACATACTCAAGGTCGAGAAGTCTTTCTCCAGTAAACAGATCCACACCGCCATTACTTACATCCATCAGAGCTGTTTCCAGAATGTCATCGATGTCAAAGTTGAAGAGGAATGGTGAGATTGGGCAACCCTGCCTAACCCCACTGCTTGAGTGGGACAATGGAGAGAGGTGGTTGTATGCCCTCACTCTGCCTGAGGTGTTTGGATATAGGGCTTTTAGGATGTTAATAAACTTCTCAGGCACACCCTTCTTCAATAGACAATCCGAGAGGACAGCCTTGTCCAACGAATCGAAGGCAACCCTGATGTCAAGAAAAACTACGATTGTTGGCCCTCGATAAGTATGGCGGTGTTCTAACAATATACCAGCTGAAACACAGATATAAGACATAGACGCAACTGCAAACATGCTCCACGTTCTATTCACGAAGATTTGAGAGCGAGAACGAGAGTCGATCGACTGGAAAGAAGGACACCTCATCAAGATACCGAAGAAACGAGAACTGAGCAAATGTGAGAACCACAGAGGTACATTTCTGTCAATACAAGGAAATGTTTTCGACAGAGTGTTGCTGAACCGGATGAAGGATTCAGAAGACGCCCGAATTCAACATCAACAGGTCGGAGTCCGTAAGTATCGGTTGTGTACAGACCGAGTTGCGACATTACGGATCATCGTTGAACAAGCAACTGAATGGAACTCTTCACCACACACCAACTTTCTTGACTAAAGTGTTTGACAGAGTGTATAGCAGAACCTTATGAAATGTGCCTGAGAAGATCGTCAACATCATACGGAATTGATTCGATGGACTACACTAGTAAGTGGTGCATGGAGACAGTTAACAGACGCATTCCAAGTGAACAGTGGTGTCAGATAGGACTGCTTACTCTCCCCCTTTCCCTTCTGGTGGTTGACTGGATTACGAAGACCTCGACATCCGACGGGAAGCACGTAATAAAATGGACATGTTGGATGCAACTAGATGATTTGGATTCCGCAGATGACCTGGCCCTTCTATCCCATACACATCAACGAATGCAGGTCAAGACAAAAACAGTGTAGCAGCAGCCTCTGCAGCAGTAGGCCTCAACATACACAAAGGAAAAAGCAAGATCCTCAAATACAACACGGAGAACATCATCCCAATCACACTTGATGGAGAAGCTGTGGAGTTTCACGTACCTGGACAGCATCATCGATGAACAAGCAGGATCTGATGCAGACGTAAAGGCGAGGATTGGCAAATTAAGGACAGCATTCCTACAAGTGAATAACATATGGAACTCAAAACAACTGTCAACCAGTATCAAAGTCAGAATCTTTAATACGAAAGCCAAGACGGTTCTACCGTATGGAGCTGAAACTTGAAGAACTACTACAACTATCATCATAAAGGTACAAGTATTTACAAGCAATTGTCTGCGCAAGATACTCAATGTCCATTATTAGTCGGATACCATCAGCAACAGCCTACTGTGGGAGAGAACAAACCAACATCCAGCTGAGGAGGAAATTATGAAAAGACTTTGGAAGTGGATAGAACATACATCACGGAAAACAAACTGCATCACGAGGCAAGCCCTAACTTGGAATTCTGGAGGGAAACGGGAAAGAGGAAGACCAAAGTACACACTGCACCAAGAATTGGAGACAGACATCAAAAAGATCAATAGCAACTGGAAAGGATTGCCCAGGACAGAGTTGGATAGAGAATGCTGGTGAGCGGCCAATTTTCCTCCAGGAGGGGTAACAAGAGTAAGTAGGTACCCAATCAAACCACTCCTGACTTTCGATCAGGTTGATAACACTGATTTATCTATGGGACACATGTAAAGCAGGCACAAGAAAATTACTTTTTTAAAGGTTGACTAGTGGAGCTATACTTATCAAATTAGACCGAACAAGAATCTATTCATTGAGGAAGAACAGCAGAAAAAACTATATCGCCTAGTTAAAATAATATTAATGTTTCATAATAAAAACAGGTATGATAAGGAATTTAAATAACCAATCTTAATCTGAATAGGAGTGTAAAGAAATATATATTCAAGATTTTAAAAAGTGTTGGTTGCAACTTTTTTTCCTGAAATCAAATCAACTGATCACTACTGTATAAAACCCACCCGACTCAGTATGTTCTCTTCACTTTTATTTAAAATCTAACAAGAAACACTTATATTTACGATGTAAAAAAACTTAAGAGTGAATCAATGTAATAGGATGTAAATCTAGCTCAATGTCTAGACATATATGGGATTACCCAGTCTTTTAAATTTTGAGAGATGAAAATGGAATGAATTAACTTGATCGTCCAGTCAGTCAGCTACAACGTAGGACCAGGCACATATGTGCATCGGTCCAGGTTGCCATACCGCATCAGCACAGCAAGATGAACACTGGATTCATAGCAGTGGTTAGGTCAAAGGTGGTAATATATAAGAGAAAGATTGCATATGGAGATATAGTACAGGAAGAAAGAATTGGTTCGTAGAAAGAAAGATATAAAGCGATTTCAGTCTCTTAGTTTAAGGGAAGACAGGAAGTGTATACACCGACGCCATTGTGATCGATTCTGAGCCATGTCACCAAGAGTCTCCAACCATTGGTTACGATAGTCACGCGGACCCCAACCAAGTAGTCTGCATCTACCAACATGGCTCAGACCAGAAGTTAGTGACTTCAAGCACTGATGCCACGTTTTGGTTTGGCCGCCCCTAACTTTCTTCCAACCATTTCCAATACCGGATAGCATTGCACGTCGTGGTAATCGGTGTTCAGGCATACGCAACATGTGACCCAACCATCTCAGTCGATGAAGATTCATAACCTCATCAACTGATTTACCATCATTTCCTAATACCCTGCGTCCAACCTCACTATTACTTACCCGGTGATCCCAGCAGATGCAAGCAATATTTCTAAGGCATTTGTGATCAAATACTTGTAGCTTACGAGTGTCTTCAACTCTTGATGCCCACGTTTCGCATCCGTAAAGTAAAACAGAACGAACTGCCGCGCAGTATACTCGTCCTTTTATTGATAGACGGATATCTCTGGAGCCAATCTATCTAGACCAGCTGCACTTCCTCGTTTCAGATTAACTATAGCCTTTTGAACTACAGTTAGAGTTGGGGGACCTACTTCAATGTTCCATTCACACTGTCTGGGAATGGAGGGTAGCTTGACCGTTAAATACTTGTGAATGAGCCACATTCTAAGTGCGAGACATGATAACACCACTCGGCTGCCCAAACTGAAGTACGTAGGTAGAGTGGGGTTCGAACCTGGGACTTAGTGGATCTAAACAACCGCTGTACGTCATTATTCTTACAAATAACTGTAAAATTATAAATGTAATTGAATTTTCATTTGTTCAACTGAAAGGTTGAAATAGTAATTTATAGAAATTTGGAGATTTTACAGAGGCCTCTCCGGTAAGAAAAGATAGAGTAACTCAACAAGGAAATTCACTTTAACCGGTGCCAACTTACGGAAGTAAATAAAATAGAGTAAAAAATTTTATGAACGTAAGAGTGGGTTTTCGCATCTCAAAAGTAAATCTAATTTACTTTCAAACAATCGCGCACCTATAGAGAGAAAAATTACTATTACTAGCATCAGTTAACTCTAAAACACTAGTACAAAAACCTTTCACTATCTACTAATTTATGATAAACTATTCAAAGTTTAACACATGAAAATCTGTAACTAAAATTGAAAACAGGATCGAACTTATCAGAACCTTCGACTTGCTTCAGCTTCCAAAAGCCAAATAAGATGATGAGCACAATGGCTCTTCATTTTTCGAGCCAAACACTGCAAGATAGATTGCAAGAGTAAATATCCATGTTCACTATGACAACCCATTTCCTTATAAAAGTAGAAGTATTCATGAAGTTAACAAACATTTCAATTCAAACTTTACAGTAATTACACTCAACAAGAAAAAAGTCCATTTAAATGCAACAGTATTATTAACAGGCAGCAAATGTAAGTATATGAAAAGGGAAACCGACTAGAAAGGACTGTCGTCGTATATAAAAATAACAAGGGTATCTTGTTTCATGAGAAAATTTCAATACATATTAGGACCTTGAAAAAGTGCTTTGACACTATTCTAGAATGGTGACAGACTTAAGTAATGTATTACAAACTTACCATTTCTTTTTTGACTACCTCTGACTTACCAGCATATTTTAACGGTGAGACGTTTTGCAAAATAACCGATGTTTAAAAAACAAGTGAAACCCTTAGTACTAATAAGAGTTGTTACCTCACATTATTAAAAAGTATACGGGAACTCACCATCCAACCCTATCTTATCTACTTATTAAGAACTTATTAAAAATCGTGTAGTAGGAGTAATCCTACATAACACCCAATATTTCACATGGCTTTCATATAATATAAGATACTTCACTGAATCTTAAAACAATTGCAGTGAACTAACTTTGATGAACAAGAGACGAGCAATATATTGGGCCACGTTGTCCAGTTCCGTTGTGACACAGGAAAGGAATGCCAAGAAAAGGAGAAAGATAACGTTGGATCATTACTAAGGTTTTACTTGGTACTGTTAAATAAACTAAGCATTCAATAGATTGTTAATAATATAAGTAGCAGTATATTCGTAGTGTCACAGTAAGTAGAAAACAAAATTTCTAGCATTTTGTGACTCAGCGTAAGCCATTTCTTTACAGAATGAATAAATGAACAAATTAAATTAAAACGAGTTTAAGTTATTACAAAGAAACAAAGCAAAAAATATTTAGTACAATCCAGAAGCAAATCTGAATAAGCCAATATCATGTCGCTCTAGTCAAGATGACTTTGTGAGAAACGCTTGCGTATTTGCTATGTAAAAAGGTAGGGTTGCATTCGTATGTGAGATATGAATAGAATCAAATATAGTCGATTTCATCGATGATCCAAGTCTGATAGACCACAAGGCTTTCTTTTCTATTGAAGGCAGTTGGATTTAGCAATATATAAAAAGCTTCAGCTACTCACCTTTCTTTGTAATCGAGAAGTTTTTTGTATAAGTTTGATATTTTAAATACCGACTTAAAGGTTATCGAAGATGGCATGCACTGCGATTGTCCATTTAATTTGGAGTTTTGCAGGTTATTGAGGATTAATATGTAGTTCTCTGTGTATCTCAGATGTTTTCGACTTGAGTTATTTTACGAGACAATTCTCCAATCCGGAAAGCATCACAATAAGAAAACTTTAGTTTGTAGACACGATTTTGTGTTGACATAAAGCAAATCTTATCATTTTTATGAATTAGAATATTTCGAGGGATTCTAGTTGTTTCGTAGTATGCTTTAATTCTGTGTAGTTTTGCGATTCTTTAGACATTCTTTGTTGCACCATGGTGGTAAAGTGGAGTTATTATACTAACTCATAAAATTTCACTTGAACCATTATTTAATGGTAAATCGTTCTGTCTTAGTACATTTTTATTAACATGATCATCTATGAATTAAGGATCTGATATTCGTCATTTAATAGGAAAGAGAAAACGAACTCTACACATTTGTGGATAAAACAGGCAGAGACAATAGCGGGATGGCATCTAGTCCCAACGTAAAGTGATTCAAGCCGTAACATATCACTTCGGTGCTGTGAGATTGAAATTAGTACCGTCACTGCGTTGACAAACTACCTAGAACATAAAAGGGATACTTGTACTATTCTAACAGCCTAATGCTTAAAAAATGAACGCCTTTACAGCTAAGACACTGCTCTGCTTACAAAAAAAGACTGAAATGTGTATTAACTTACCAAAAAGTGGGTTAACATATCTTGTGCAGTATCAAAAGAAAAGTGAGACTCTCCTTCTGATGAGTATGGTTGATGTTCGTTATCGACAGCGGAAACAAAACCCTTAACGTCATCAATAGATGGAAGCGATTCCGAATTCACCATGCTCATTTCTGAATGTGAAACACTAGAATAATTGGTACATGAAGCATTATTCCGTTTTGGCTGTAAAAATGCAATGGAGTACATAAATGTCTGATCTTTAACTGTATCACCGGCAGCTAGTAATGGCTGTAAAACATAGATAACGCACTTCAAGAAAATGCCTAGAGTGTTCCATGCAAGAGGAACAGATACGAGTTCTCCAATGAGACTTTCTTTTACAGCTATACACGGCATAGATAGTGATAAAAAAGGACAATCTTCGTTCCGTGGATGCTGAGCTAGGTTATAAATAGTTTGACGCCAAGTTGGAGATTCGACCATTTGACTAAGCCACTCCATGGTGTCCTGAATTTCGAAATGTTAGGTAATGACCAAGAAAACTAACGGCTGAAGCTTCATCTGTTAAACATGTTATGGCTTTGGAACGATCGTAGTTTTGAAGAATAGCTTCCTTGACAACTGATTCAATTATGTTACGAGTAGACTGAGCATCTTCATCTAACCGAACGAATGCGAAGTATTCTGAAAAGGTCTTACCAATGTAGGTGAGCCAAGTCCCCAGTTCAAACAGGAACTCGATTGCACCCTGATAGCTCTCCACTAAAAGCTCCTCTGCCTCGTTATGTCCACTTTGTGGGTTATTATATCGGATGCTAAAAATCCGTTCGGTTATAAAGTTTCAAAGCTACCAATCAATTGCTTCTGCAAGCATAGACGGGTGTTCAAGAATGGCATCTTTCTTCTTCAGGACAGCTCTGGCCTCTTCCATAATTGAGATCGCACTATATAGACGAAGAAACGAAAATTAGACTTCCACTGTTAGTTACAGAGATAGGAATGGAAATGTACATTTAAGCAGCAATCCCACTTAATTTCGGATCGTAAATGTTTCAGTAAAAATAGATACGTGAAATCGCAGCACGCACATTGGGACAAATGTAAAAAGAAAATCAGTTTTTTTCAGGCAAGATTGTAAAGACGCTTAGAAGTAGTCATTCAGTGGAATCAACTGCTCAGACATATTAGGAAAATATGACTTTATAAATGTGATGAAAATGAAACTTTTGGACGTTAGTAACTAAAAACAAATCAATGCTTCCTACGTAATTTACTCACTGGATAAGTGCAGCCCCAGACTTACTGTCTGACATGGTGAATGAAGCTGTCCTCTGATACAGTAATGAAAATGAGACTGCCACATTACAGGTCAATAAGTAAAACTTACTTTTCAATTAAGTATTTAGGACAAGGTCACGCGTGAACTCTATTTTCAGGCGGACGATTACTAACATCTCTAAAATTATCAGACATCAGAACATGTATTCACCACTTAAGGTTGATAGTCCTCAGTTTACAAATAACTAAGTCATATCGGATGAAAATATTGAAGAAACTATATCGGACAAACACCTATGTTTTGAGGTATATTTTATATTGCTTCTTTTACTGTGATAATAAGACTAAAAACATAGAACATGGGTTGAAAAACAACAGGATCCTCAGAACCAATAGTGATATACAGTGAGACTATAATTTATGGACGACCTTTGAGCAATGCTAGTTACCTGGAGGGTTATAAATGCCCTGGTACGGCCGAGTCAGTCAGTCAGTAACAACGTAGAACTTCGTACGTACGTACATCAGTTCGAGTTGCCACACCACATTAGCACAGAGATACAGTTGTCGATTCAAATCCCGTAGTGGTAGAGGTAGCAAGAGTATAAGCAGTAATCGGGAAGATTAGGGTTTGGAGATGTTATTTGAAGAGTATAATTCAGTGAAGTAAACTTGGGAAGAGAAAAAAGAGACAAGGAGGAATCAGGAGATTAGAATTTGTGCGAACACAAAGAGTGTATGCACCTGCGCCATTGCAAACGATTTTGAGCCATGTCATTCAGGGTCTCTAACCATCGGTTGCTATCATCTCGCGGTCCCCAACCAGGTAGTCTACACCTACCAACACGACTCAGTCCACTTGTCAGTGACTTCATGGACTTGTGCCATGTATTGGTTTGGCCGCCCCTAGCTTTCTTCCAACCTACTCCTATACCACTGAACATAGCACGTCGAAGCAGTCGGTCGTTGGGCATACGTAACACGTGTCCCAGCCATCTCAACTGATGGAGTTTCACTACTTCATCAATTGATTTGCCATCCTTACCTAGTACCCGTTTCCTAACAACTGTGTTACTTACTCGATGGTCCCATGATATACGAGCAATGTTTCGAAGACACCTATGATCAAATACTAGTAGCCTACGGATATCCTCTACTCTTGCCGGCCATGTTTCACTGCCATAAAGTAGGACGGAACGAACTGCTGCGCAGTAAACACGTCCTTTGGTTGATAGACGGATATCTCGCCTACGCCATAAATGACGCAAGTTGGCGAAAGCTAGTCGAGCCTTCTGTATCCGTGCTGAGATTTCGTCACACACCAGACCACAAGGGCTGATGAGACTTCCAAGATAAGTGAAGCGGTCGACACACTCAACTACTTCACTCCCTATCACTAGTTCGGGTGTCGATGTAACCCAATCCTGAAGCAACATTTTGCATTTCGAGGGAGAGAATCGCATCCCGAACATGCTTGCATTGTTGCTTAGAGTGGTCAGAAGACTGCATTTTGTCAGCGTCTTCACCAAATAAAACTATGTCATCTGCATATTCTAAGTCAACAAGTGAACCTCCCGGTAAAAGTTCAACCCCTGGAAATTTAGATGAGGAGAGTGTTATCTCTAAAAGTACGTCGACCACAAAGTTGAACAAGAATGGGGAGAGTGGACAGCCCTGACGAACACCACTTGAGGTAATCAATTCTGATGACAGTTCGCCATAAGCTCTCACTCGACCAGTTGTGTTCGAGTAGAGAGCCTTTATAAGGTTAATGTACTTCTTTGGTACTCCTTTCAGTGACAAACACTGCAACAGAACCTCACGATCAACAGAGTCGAATGCTGCCTTAAGGTCGAGAACTACTACGATTATGGGGCATCTGAATATGTGTCTATGTTCTAGGACCTGACGTAGTGTGAATATCTGATCTATACAACCACGTCCAGGTCGAAAACCGGCCTGGTTTTCTCTAGTCTGCTCTTCACGAGCTTTAGTAAGGCGTCGAAGTATTATTGAAGCTAATATTTTAGACACTATATTAGTCAAACTGATTCCTCTGTGATTGTCACAAGAGGACTTTTGTTACGAAATCACACTTATTTTGAATGGAATGGGGGACAATGTATACTTTCCCTTTGAAACATGACCTAAAAGTAATATGCATGTGTGAGAATACCATTAATGCACATAACATTGTATAGGATTTTGTTTGTCACTACTGTCAAGTATGATGCTTTTTCATAGCGAACAGACGAACTTCAACTGGCAACACAACTAACCTTATGAACTAAGTAACGCACATAATCTTAGCTAGCGCCAACTGCAGTATCTAGTACTGTCAAACCTCAAAGTCTGTAAATAGGATTAGGGAAATATTTGATTCTCAGAGTCTTCTTCTGAGTGGTAGTACAGCTTTCTGGATTAATAATGTTCTAAATAATGTGATAAAAGGCAAAAATACGGGTTAATAATAGCAGGGATATCTGAATAGTAACCCCTTTAGTAATTTCCATCATTGCGTATTTAAATGAAATCAACGTATTATCTTCTCCTAAAAGATTCTGTGTGGAGTTTTGTTACTATCTGCCTTGGAGGAGAGTTCCATAGTCTAACTATTCAAACCAAGAAATACTTTGAATCGAAATTCATGAAAGTTCATTTGTGCTCAATCTGAAATTGGTTTTCTCAAAAGTGTAGTTAAGTATAGGAGTTTACTTGCTACTTTTTACCTTGAAAATGATTTTGGGTAATGAAATGTATCTTGATCGTATTCCCATAATTCTTTCGTAATGCATTCGTAATAAATTTAGCTCTACCAGCTGACCTGAATGTTGTTTATTTTTCAAACTGATTATCCTTTTTGTTACCTTTTTCGAAATCGTCTCGAAGCAGTGACGACTTTAATAAAGCATTAAGACTTAAAGTAGGAGCTTCTCTCTAGATGAAGTTATTATCAGTCAGTGAAAAAGATACAAAGTAATTTCTTAGTCTGGCTGCCTAATGTTTTGGAAAGAAGCCGTAAGACAGCATGTTTTGTTAGCTACAAAGTGTCAATGAGAAGAAACGTCCATAATTTCGCATAAAGTGCTGTCAATGTCTCCTTCTTCCATAGGAAGTATGATACTCGTATCGCTGAAGGAATTATGAGATAAATAGAGCATCACTTTTGTTCACTATTATCACTCTGTATTTGCACGCATCTAGTTTTCTTGAAGCAGCTAAATATCATCAAGATCTGATCGTTTTTTACCTTTAGGCCATTTGAACGTAGAGGCTATTATGAATCTAGAATACAAATCAGGGTGTTAATAAATAGGAAGAATAGAAGTACATTCGAGGACTGAGCCTTAAAGGACTATTGATCATTGAAAAGTCGAATTTTTTAATAATCCAGGAACAATTTGACTAGACATCTACTGATGTCCGTTAATTTCAATTTTACTTAACGACTCCTGTAGTGAAACCTATCGAACGACTTGGAGAAATCTAGGAGGCCTGTGTTCCAGCTTTTACAGGTAATCGAAAAATTTGTATGTTGAGAACCAGATAGTATGGATTTACTGAGTAGACAAATTCAGGGGTATTTATTGATAATTCTTTCCACTCTCGCTGCTGCTGACAGCATGGAAGTCGGTCTGCAGTCTGCAGCTTCTGCCCTACTGTTTCTACATTATGCTAGTGTGACTATAACCATTTCTCAGTTGGAGAGTCATCTGTCCTTTACTTACCAGTAGTAAAAGAGGCCAAAGAATAATGATGAATCGTTTGCTTCGTTCAGGCTCATACCTTGATGTTAGGGATAGGTTCTAAATGGGCAATAACATTTACTGAGGTTATCGTATCAGTGGGGTTGCAATGTCCTAGGTGAATTCGTCAGCCATTTATTAACTAACTATGGATAACTATCTTCTCTAAAGTAACAGGACCTTCTTCATATCACCTCGAAGTTATTTTGATGCTCATACTGGTAGTGGGTTTATGTTGAGATTTAAAAGCATGATTGTAGGGAAGAAAAACAGATTGGAAAAAACGGTTATGAGTGGTTTGTAAGTAGAATAAAGTAGTGATAGGGGACCATGAAATAGCCCTTGATGTAGGACGGACCAAATCGTTAAACGGAATATTGTCTATCTCGTTCATTGACACATTGTTGGAGCTAGAAGAGTGGAGTTTGAGCATCCCTTACAGCCGACTACGAAAGACCTTATGTCCACGATACTTTAGAGGGATCACTGCCAAAAAGTACACACACTGCAAACAATTCGAGATTTTATATGAGAGTCATGTCTTTTTCCAATATCTTCTCCAAGGTTGCTAGGTTGGTCTCTGCAATGACTTTCAGGAAGGACTATTTTGGTGGAAAAAGCTGTGTGACTTATTAAGTAGTAATCCTTGTTGAAGCCACCTCTCGTTCTTGATGTTTGAGAGTAATAGTCCCATCTATGGGGAATGGTTTTGAAATGGATCTTTGCCGAATACTATAGTCTTCTAACGTATTACAACTCGTCTAAGCTATCCACATCTCACTTTAATAGGTGAACTAATGATATCGAACCAACAATTCGTGCTTTCATCACAGGAAGCAAAAATGCTTACCGATAGGTGATACTTTTTATGGCGATCATAAATTCAAATTTATTCGTCACCACTTGTTTGAAATATAGGTTTACTAACCAGTTTCCCCATTATTGTTATAATGATATGACTTAGATTTAACGTGCCAACATAAAGCTCGTAAATGAAGGTCATTTTAGGGTTGAAAATACATTTACTGATGATATTAGACTGAAACAAGGCCTTATCATTGACATTGGTTTTTACTAAACTCATTGATTCTCAAGCTTTTTCGAACCAACGCCTAAGCTGAAGGAAAGAATAGAAACCGGATTAGTTTGCTACGCCATGCTATTTTTTGCGACCCGAAACTCACAAGGATACATACCCTGAATATTTGTCCATATAACGACACAACTACAAAGCTAAAAAGAATATACAGTTTGACCACAAGTATTGTATAATTCTAATACTGTAGGAATAGTTAACTAATGATAGATCTGGGATGATCGAGCATATGATAATGACATATGTGTCGAATGAAAGCCTAAGAATAAGTAAATAGAAAAGTGTAAAAATCTTGGCGTTTGTCAACAGTGCAATTAAGTTAGACATAATAACTCTTTGTATATTAGTCCCCAAAGTTACACGTCCACATTCTTTAGGGTGTAAAATCAATTTTCGATAGGTGTCCGGATGTCAGCATTGGAAATGTAGTGATAGGGCTTTCAGTCCCAGTTTTGTAGCATTGAGAGAAGTGCTTGCTGAATTATTCGCAAGTAATATTAGGGTCGTCAACAATGCTTCCTTTAACTATGAAGAATTTAGTCGTGCTAACGGAATTTGACTTCACACAGGATTTAAAAAGCCGAAGCATTGGCAGTTCTGAGCTTTTACTACGTAGGGCTTTATTTTCAATATTCATAAAATACTTGCGTTTAGATGAAGAATTTCTGTCGAATAATTTAAGTATACTTTGAAGTGCATAAACGTCATTATGCTCGTAGTAGCAGCATTTTAATTTCCTCAGCTTTCTTTTGAAAGTTTTAAAAGTATTCTGGCCCTTATCAGCATTATAAGCCACATGGCCAGTAACTGGAGTAGTGCAGCCAAGGCAATATATCAGGTTGTGGTATAGATTGGAAAGCGCAATGTCAACATTATTTGTGGTAACATAAGTTTCCTATGGTAAACATTGAATGAGAGTTTCAGTCCGTTTCCAGGTTTGTTGATCAAAATGTCTGCTCTGGTACATCATTAAGGCTTTAATGTTCAATTTTATGGAGTTTAGAGAATGAATAATACTAAACACAACTCTATGATCACTCATAAAAAACTCATGACTGGTATGCACTGAGATGGAGTCTATGTTGATTGTAAACAGTAAATCAAGTATGTTATTCTCCCTAGTCGGTTTTCGAACCTGTTGAACCCTTCTACAAATTTCTAGTATTTCAACTGGCTTGTTATATCGACCTGGTACCGGAGTCGAACCCCATGTAATTTTTGGCAGATTAAAATCACCTTCGATGATTTTAAAAGTATGTGGTTGATGTGAAGCAATGGAAAAGATGTTCGTTAGTAATCTGTCAAACTTGGTATCCGAATGAGGTGGTCGGTATATGCATCCCACCAGTAAATAATTTTGGGATCCACAGTTTACAGTAACCCATGTGGAGTCGTCTATAGCATCAAGAGATTTATCCTCAAATTTTCACACCTGAATGTCTGAACGGACATCGATAATTGTATCGCCTCCTAATCCATAACGTCTATAGGTTCTAAAGAAAACATAGTTATCTGCATTCAAGGAGTGATCGGATATAGATGAATTGCACCACGTTCCCGTTATAAGTACAATGGTTGAATTCACAAAGAATAAAAGGGTTTTAAGATGAATAATTTTATTGGACAGAGAGCGGGCATTGAACGAAAGAATAAGGAAATCAGTGTTATCATAGTGAAGCAGGTTGGAGTATAAATCGCAATTGGTAGTTCCATGAATACTCGTAGGATTAGCTAAGGTAAGAGTTGTGTTGTGAGGGGAAATAGATTCAACCACTTTGTCATCATGTGAAATATGTTTACCGTTGCCGGCAGAAAGCCGGCGGAATTACAAAGAAAATCTTCTCATTGCTATTGGATATAACATCTGATAAAGGCATAGTGTACATATCGGGAGCCGGAGCAAGAAGGCTCTCAGTTCTATGTGTGCGACCAAGTGGCTATTTACAATTCAGATTACTAGTTATACCTGACGTATGGATAACATGTTCCAGATGTTTGTTTCCAAGGTTTGTGGTTAATTTTATCTTCCTCTTAATTTGGGGAGAATTGTGTGCTGTTAAACATACTTGCGATGGATTGCGAGGTTCGAATATATCGACGTTAAGTGTGTGGTCAGTTATATAAATGTAATGATCAGTTTTCCAGTTATCCGTTGCACAGTTACTGTGACTGGGTGTTGCACTAGCAGGGATTTGGACTGTGTTATCCCATTCGTCATCAGCACAACTACTTCGGGTTGAATCTAAGTCAACGTTCTTAAGAGAATGGATACCACCTACATCGGGATTACTTTCTACTGGGTTTTGAATTTGAGGAGATTCCGAAGAGTTTTTCAGTGGTGGCATACTTGTACGTCCTCTTAGAATCGGACTTACTTTTACGACCATTAGGATTATGATGCGTTTTGGAGTTTGACGCTGGTGGTCTGTAGCTATCTCTTCCTGCTTTTCGCTGGCATCGTGTTCTGTCTGGAAGAATCC